TTATATTCCTTTTATATCCTCTTTATATTCCAAGCTTAAAAGAAACAAGGCTCTTAAATGGAACACAATAAAAAGAAAAAAAACCCATCCAAGCCAGTATTGTGGGGGGAAAAAGATTTAATCCATAGGTTAAAAAAAAGTAGAAGGAGAAAAGCCAATACTTTCACTTTAAAAAGTAGGAAGTGTTTGCAAAACTTCCATCCATAGAAGACAATTAAAAAAAGGATAACACACTGTCCAAAATAGCTTAAATTCACCGCTTCTTTTCTTTTCTTTACAAGTTTAATTTGGTTTTAATCTTTTTTGGGCCTCTTTTGTAAAAATAAAATTTCCTCACCAGATGGACACACTTTCTCTTTCAGTTTTCCTCGTGCTGCAGAGCTGTCCCGACTTCAGCAGCTTGGGGCTGCGCTTCTATTGTCGGCTAGAAGAGATTCTCTTGGATCAATCAGGGACTTTGCAATGTCCCTGAGATCAGCAAGACATACTCTTCCCTGTCACCGTCTCTTCGGGACGGTTTAGGTCCAGATGGACCACCCAGCAGTAAAAGTATCGGCTGCGATCTCAGAGCTCCAAGATCGCATGTCTGTATCGTCACGACATCAGCTCCTTCTCCTAAAATAGGGTTTTAAATAACTTTTCCTTCACATATCTCTGTTTCACTTCAAAGGTCGCTTATCATGCAACATGATAGAACCTAGCAGTACTTTGCCTAATTACTGCATTCCCCTTTATTCCCAAAGATAGCGTGATGGAAGAAAATTGAAGACAAAGCACAATTAAAAATGAAACTCACACTGCCTTCATATTAAAATCATGACAAATACAAGGTGTACAATTCTGGATTAATTTACCTGAAAAAGATGTAATCCATTAGCATCAGACAGGAATCTCAAGTCTCGGTCTACAAGAGATTCTACTGGAACCACAGACCCTAAACCCAGTTTATCTACCAAAGGAGTGAATGTCTAAGAAAAAAAAAACAGAACAAAAGGTAGAAATACACATTAGGAAGCCCGCATAGACATACACAAATATACAATTCTCTCTGCTTTCAAACACGCCATTTTTAATATGATCAAAATAACCAAAATTTTGCTTGAGAAATATTTTTATCTGCTAAAAGAAATTACACAATTATCTTTAAAAATGAAGGTGGCCATGTTTTCATCCCCCCAAAAACTAATATGGTTAGTTTTTTACTTAGGGTCAATATAGAACAATACCAATACTTTTAAAATATCTCCATAATACAGATTGTGAATACTAACTTATGACCAAAATTGATATGGAATTTCCATCATTAAGTTGGTGCGCGTGTAAAGTGAGACATCATGGGACCAGACTGAGTTCTTTTGGGAATCTTGGTTCTCCACTTTGTAGTTGTTAATGCAAGTCATTCAGTGAGTATCAATGCCAATCCAACCCATTCTGAGTTTGATCCTTCCCAGCCCAGAAGCTGAATCTCTCTCGTTCTCTCGACTGGTGCGGCAGGAAGCAGGATAGCAAGCAGCCCCAGAACCACAGGGGTCTGCAGCTGCTTGCCATCTTCCAAGGCCAGGTGAAGGGTGGAGGAAAGGGCAGAGATTGGAGGGAGAGAAAGGCAGATGGAGGAGTTGAAAGGTCCCTGCAGTTTTAAGCACAGAGGACTGCCAAGTGCTCAACGTTTGATCACATGACCATAGGAGCACTGCAATGATTGTAATTTCAGGCTCAGATCGCAAGTCATTTTTTTCAGCATCATTGTAATTTTGAACAATCACTGAATGAATGCTTGTAAATCAAGGACTGCCTATAGGGTACAAACATTTCCATTGTAGGGTTTTTTTTTTCTCATTTCAATAATTTTTTCCCACTCACTACAGCCTAAATTTGTTTTTTTAGCCAAAAATTAACCTAAAAGACAAGAGGTTTTTAGATCACATACAGTAAAATCTGATATGACCGTGATGGCGAACCTATGGCACGTGTGCCAGAAGTGGCACGCGGAACCATTTCTCCTGGTACACGGAGCCATCACCAGTTGCTCTTCCAGGTTCGGGCACAGCAGCCAGCTGGTCTTCACACGCATTGGTGTGCCAGAAAGCTGAAGAGGAGCTGCCCAGTGTGTTTCCGCATGCTAGGAAAATGATCTTTTTTGTTTCCAGTGTGCTAATGCGCGTTGGCCATTTGGTGATCTGGTTCCTGGCGCGCATGCCCGCACAAAAACCAACAACAGGAAGAGCAACGGCCGTGAGATCCCAGCCATCACTTCTTAGCGGAGCAGAGATGTGGTTGGGGCTTCCCTCCCTTCCCGCCGAAGCAGGCTTCTTGCTGGCCCCAGTCCTCCAGCCCGTGGCTCATCTGCGGTCCGAAGTGCCTGGTCAGCTTGGGCACCCCAGAACAGCAGTGGCAGCCACAAGGGGAAGGGCAGGAGCAACCCACTGCAGCGACTCTCATGCTAGCCAGAAGCGGCACTGTGACAGCCACCGGGGGTGAGGGGACAGCAGCGACAAGGATGGGCAAGGGCTTCCCTCCCTCCCCACCTGAGTGGGCTACTAACACAGCCCCAGCCCTCCAGCCCACAGCACTGACATGGATCCAAGGTCTGGAGTGCTTGACAGGCTCAGGTGCCCCAGAAGAGCCAGCGGGCCCCGTGCAGCCCCAGAAGAGCAGCAGCTGCAGCCACGGGGGGAAGGGCAGGGGCAACCGGGCAGCCACTGCAGCAGGTCCCACACCAGCGAGCCAGGCCCTCGGCAGCATCTCCATGCGGCTAGCTTGTCTCCCCACCAGCAGCTGCTCCTCCAGCATTGCGGCTGGAACCAGCAGCGCAACAGCTGCTAGGGTTGGGATGATCACCCGTTCTTGCCATCGCCACTCCTTCAGCCCTGGTAGCAGTGGCTGTTGCGCTGCTGCTTCCATCTGGGATGCTGGAGGAGGAACTGCTGGCGGGGAAGTGAGCTACCCGCATAAAGACACCACTGAGGGCCTGGCTCACTGTTGTGGGAGCATCTGTAGTGGCTGCCCGGTGGCTCCTGCCCTTCCCCCTGTGGCTGCTGCAGCTGCTGCTTCTCTTCTTGGGCTGCGCAGGGCCCAGCCGGCTCTCCTGGGGCACCTGAGCCAGCCAGGCACGCCAGACTGCGGATCCACGTCAGTGCCACGGGTTGGAGCCACGCAAGTAGCCCGTTCGGGTGGGGAAGGAAGTCCTTGCCCGTCCTTGCCACTGCTGCCCCCTCGCCCCCAGCGGCTGTCAGAGTGCTGTTTCCGGGTAGGATACTGGAGCAGCCAGAAGAAGTGGGGGAAGTGGGCTGGGCAACACCAATTGCAGATGCTTTTTGTGCATCTGATGGAACACGTGGAGGGACTACTGGGACCTGAGGTGGCAGCAGTGGCATGGATGTAGGCAGCACGCCCGGCAGAGACGGCAACAGCATTGTAGGAGGCGGAGGATAATGCCCAGGGGAAGTTGCCCCACAACCCAGGTGGGGAACATGGGAGCCAGGAAATGGGTCTCCCAGGGTGTAGGTTGGCCAACGTGCGGGCCTTCGCAGGCCGCAATGGTGATCAAGTCTGTGCACTGGGCGGGGTGGTTGCAAGGCTTGGGGCCTGGCGCGGGCCAGCATGGCCACCCAACCAAGAGGAAGATGCTGGGTCCGCTGCCTCCAAAATGGCTGTTATATTTTTCCCTGGGCTCCGTCTCCCAGGCAGGGGAACAAGAGCTCAATGCCAAGCCCATTGGCCACAGCCATTTCCAAGAGCAGGCTGCACAGCTCACCCCCAAGGCAGCCCGGGAGAGCAAAGAGCCTCGGGAGGGCATTCAGGGGGGCGGGGAAGGCTGTTTTCACCCTCCCCAGGCTCCTAGAAAGCCTCTGGAGCTTGAGGAAAGCAAAAAAGGGTCTATCACAGGCCAAAAGAGGGAGGGGGTTTCATGCGCATATGTGATGTGTGTGCATGCTCACATGCACATGGGAGTTGTGCACATAGCATTATGGATGTGGGCACACCTGCACAGGACCCCCCTGCGCTCCCCCCACTTTTGGCACGCAATCCAAAAAAGGTTAGCCATCACTGTGATATGATATAAGTTGCTTCAAATTAAGTATAACAAATTGTGAAAATACTCACCAATGCAGGCCAATGTTCAACTGACACCCTGGTTCCCTGCAGCAAAACTGGTTCATTTCTAGGAGCCCAAACAAGGGAACCTTCCAGCATCAAAACTATAACTTCTTCTGCATGAACCTTTACCCAAGCATGTTGCTTCCAACTGCACCGATCAAATTCCACAAATATCTGCAAAAGATTCCAGAATGTGCTCATTCAGATATAAATGCAAACAGTATATGTATTCGTAAGAATATCTAATATCAGCTTGGCTTTTCAACTAAGACTCTGTTTATGTACTTGGCAGTACTACCCCCTTCCCTTCAGACATGCAAGCACATTGAGAGAGGACACTACAAACTGGTATAAGAAACAAGCAATCTCTGGAGTTCCTCCCCTCCCCCTGCCCAAAACTCCTATGAAAGTGACAAGGTTCTGTCTCTTTTTCAAAGGTGCAGGGAGGCAGTCTATCCTAGTGTGCAGTGTAGTTGTGGATAGTAGGAAAAAATAGCAGGCGTTTGCCAAACAAATCCCGCTTGGTTGGGGGGGGGGTCATTTCTCTTCCAAACTTATGATTGCTTCTCTACGACTCTAAAATACTTTGTTACCTAATAGGAACCTCTGGAGAAGGTGTAAAAAAGTTGATGACATCGCTACTGTTATTTGCCAATTCTTCTTGCAATCAGCAGAGTGCTACAAGGAGGAACATGGATTGCTGAAGTTTAAATTCAGTGACTTAAATGGACTGTTCTAATTCTATGATACACAAACCACTTTCCAACAAAAAGTTCCAGGAATAATGTAAAGGTTTCTCCATCTTCAAAACTTCCCACAAGAGAAGATCCTACCTGTCCCTTTAACCTTCATACTTATCAGAGGAGTAAAAAAGAAAAAGGAAAGCATTTTAATAGTGTTGTCTTTCATGAAAAGACAAGGGAAACTGAATTCTTTGGCGTATCAAAAGTATTTACAGTATTGTTTCCAGACATAGTACAGATCAAGGTGATACAATATGGCCAATCCTGGGCCCTCTGATTTAATATGAGACTTTAAAGGGAAAAGAGAATAAAGTATGTTTGTCATCTGTATTTTAAGATTATGAAAAGAAAAGATAGAACAAAGAGTTTGGTCTTGATCTAGGAATAGCAAGTAGCCAGGGTAGGAATTTAAATATGCAGGGATCAAAGTTACTGAGCAGTTAACCGGGAAGGCAATTACCGTCATCTTGGGAAGAAAGTAGAACAGGGCACATTGATTTTCTTGAGAAGTGTGTCACTATCTTTGAGAGAAGTGTTCCAACCTGACAGGAGACCATCTACAACAAGGGTGTGAACTCAAGGTCCACGGAGTCACCCTGGAAAGAGCAAAGGACTGACCCGCGGTGATTCTGCCAGCAAAAACGGAGTCCTCACAAGCTCCATTTTCATTGGCAGAGTGCTCAGGCCAACATAGGCACCCCCGACACAAGTGATGTTGAGCTGGCCATGCCCACCCTGGCAATGCCCCGCCCCTATGTGAAACACAACCCTGACGCGGCCCTCAATGAAATCAAGTTTGACACTCCTGATCTACATCATACAGTGTAAGAGCTGCAGCAGCCAATATGCAGGATAGAAGGCAGAAGATTAGCAGAGCATATCCATGAACACTAATTATCAGTCAGAAGACATGATTGAAAACTCCTTCATAACGCATGAACATACTTAAACCATGGTTAATGCACAGTAGACATAGAATCACACATTTTATGAATAATGTGCATTAATTATGGTCAAGTCTTTCCAGGCATTGTGAAATTAAAGAAATTTTCATCAGGTCTTTTGACTGCTAGTTGGTGTTCATGGCAATAGAATGAATACATTGGAAAAAATGTAAAAAGCTACTGCTTTTCTTCCACCTAAGAGGTAGTTGATTAACTCCATGAACAGATTAGAACTAAAAACAGAGGCTTTGAGACAGAGAAATCTAATCTTAGACATACTGAATTTAAGACACTAATAACAGAAAAATACCACAGAAATCGCTGGAGATCTGAGACTGACATGAATTATCTGTACCAATTGTGCCTTACATTTAATGTTAAGACTGGTCTTAACCTAATTTTCAACTTTGAATTGTTTATATGTTTTCATTAAAAATGCCTTTCTATTCTCTTCCTCAACAATTTTTCTTATATTTCCTATTAGAAAAGTTTGAAAGTTTGATTTTTAGTTTGATTATTGTATCTCTTTATTATTGTGACTGTACTTAAGAGTTTTGTGTTCTAACTCTTTTGAAAATGAAAACACAAGAGCAATGTTTCAGTAACATATTCAAATGCCATATTTAAGAAGAAAAATGCTATTATATTTTTAAATATCTGCATGATTTTTTTCTCTCATGCCATTTCTTAAAGCAGATAAGAAAAAGAAATATGGTTTTTAAAGATGAACATTAGACGTAGACTTAAGCAAATTAAGTATCAAGTTACTTTTAAAAGCAAAGCATAATTACAGATAAACTATATCTACTGACTCTAGTGTTTCTCTACTTCAGGATGCTATTCAGAATACCATTCTCTAGAAAAACACCCTTGGCTTCAATTATGAGCTGATCCCCTGTTGACTTTTTAAAATTAGGTGCCTCATAATTTCTTGTAGTCATTGGGCAAATGCCTCACAAAATAACTTTTCTACTTAAAGTACTTTGTAGGGATAAAATATTAGAAAATGTAACTGCAAAATAGAACTGGTTTGTTCCAAGAGTTAAAGCATGAACTTGAAATCTGGCATGTCCGATCAGCAGTTTGAAAGCATGCAAATGTGAATAGATAAATAGTGGGAAGGTAACAGCATTCCATGCATCTTTGGCTTATGCTGGCCACATGACCATAGAAATATCTTTAGACAATGCTAGCTTCATCAGCTAAGAAACAGAGATGAGCACTGTCCCTTAGAGTTGGTCATGACTAGACAGGGAAACATTTACCTTTAGGAATAAGGCAACTTGTTTTTTTAGTCTTGCATTCAGCAGATAACTTAGTTGGGAGACTTTGCTAGTCACTATCAATTAGCCATAGGAGAAGCACAGGCAAACCATTACTGAAAATGTTGCCAGAAAAACAAGTAAACCATACATGAAGTCACTAGAAATCATGACTGATTCAAAAACACATATCCATAATCCCTTCCCCTGCAAGAATATAATAGAACTTAACAATATGAAATCATTTGTTCTGAACCAATCAAATATAAATATTTCAAAAGCCTTGAAGAACAGAAAAGTTTTAGTCTGAGGTAAAAAAAAGACAACAACACTAGGCTGAAACAGTCCCAAAGGTACTTTTTTTAAAGAGACAACTGAAGCTTCTTGGATGAGAAGTGAAACGAAACTTCTTGGATGAGAAGGTAAAGGTCTTCAAAGAAAAAACAGAAAGTCCAGTTGCCTATTGAAAAAAGCACCTTTGGGACAACCATGACTTGGATGACTGAGTATCTCCATAGACATTTAGGCTGAAACAGTATTCCAGAGGTACAACTGAAAGTATCTTTTTTACCAGAAAAATGAAGCTTTTGAAACAAGGTTCTGTAGATGGTCTTAAAGTTCTTGTTTTACTGATAAAAACTTGAGCTAACTGGATAAATCCCTTCACTTAAAAGTTAGTTGGAAATTACAAATGGAATTAAGAAAAAAAATATAATTTTTTAAAAGAATCTACAGAATAGTTAGCACTGATGTTCATATCTTACTCAAGAACATCTTTAGGAGACCTGCTGAAGAACCTGCAGCTTCTTTAGGCCAAAGTATAAAAGCAGTTTGTGTGTGTGTGTGTGTGTGTGTGTGTGTGTGTCTGTGTGTGTGTGTGTGTACTTAATAATGAAAACATACAATAT